AATTTTTCCAGGTTCCAGGACTACGCCATCAAGAACAGTATCATATTCCCACTTCTTTCTTAAAGAGAACTAAAAAAAGAAAAAAAGAATCTACCAGCATAGTTTCACAATACATCCATGATTATTTTTATAGTGCTGTGCTCCCCTAACATTCAACAGGGTGAGGGATGTAGGATATGGACCATGTCTTAGATAACATTTGAGTTACAGTAAAATTGGACACTCATTACTGCAGTATCCATAGTATTTTCCTGCATCTCAAAATGCCAATGGAAAAAATGGCAGTACTACAGACATGCAGAAATGATAAATTTCAATATCTTTTAAGTAGTGACCACAGTATATAGTGTTCCTCATTCGTAACGGTGAATCCAGAAGTTGGTACAACCTCAAAGCCTTGCAATCTATTTTTAAATACTGTATTATTTTCCCATTTTTATTATGGTCAAACTACCAAAATATCATCAGTTCTTATCTCTCACTCTCTACTTCTAGATTATATACATTCAAAACTAGTGTTCCATTAAGATTTGGGAATATTTAAATTATGTCACAGAAGTGTGAAAAGAACCATTAACTTAATCAAAACAAAAATAAAAGATATTGGACAATCATAACTGCTATTATGGTAAACACTCAATGAAGAACTGTAGATATCTTACAGCATATCACTTTGCTGTTATGTCAGTGGTTATCTAACAGTCAGTCATCAAGTAATTTATCATAGATTTCTACATAGATTTGTCCAGTCTGCAATGCAGCAGATAGACATTGTAACACTATGCTTCCTATTTCTGTGATGATAGTTTTTCTCTGCTTTGCTTCTTGGGTGACTGTACCAACCTGAGCAATGCCACCCACAAACTTTGTTTTGACCACAATGTCGTCATCTTCTGCTTTCCCAAACGCTGCTTTTTGGGCTGCCCTGACAAGATTGTCTGATGCTCGCTTGACAGCGTTTCCTGCAGCCTTTGAAAAAAAAAAAAAAAAGAAATTTAGAAATGACAAAAACATGTAACTAACATGGATTCACCTGAGCATCAATACTAAAACATCTTTGCTTGACTAGACAGGAAAGGTGTGGTTTGTTTTGCTGGTTTTCTTGCCAGTGAAAAGCAAATGAATCTTTCAAAATCAATGGTTCAGAGAAGAACACAGTTCCTTTATTTAAGAAGCTGGAAATCGGGAAAGTAATAAATGAGATTTCCCCCCCCCGCAGTTTGAAGTACAGTGGTTGAAATCATAACTTAAGTTATACACAACACTGATCAGATTTTTTTTTTGAGGAAGAACAGTAAATGAAAGCTAGTATATATAAAAAACATTTTAAGGCAATTAAGTTTTTAAATTAATGGGCTTTCATCAGGGCTAACTAGCCACTTACACAGCCAAACTTAAATGTTTATTTCCTTAAAAATTCTCAGATTTCTAAAGATAAACAGTCAAACAGTTGTAATACATCTTTTGTTGTCCAAGGTGAGCAGTATCAGCAATTGTGCATCAGAAAGAAAAAGGTAACTAAGCTACCTGCATTTTAACATTGTTAAAGCTATCTTTGCTATAATACATATTGGCAGTAGAGATTCCACATTGCATACTCAGTAATTACCTTATCCACAGGCACTGGGTTAACGGATACAGAGTGACCCTTATGGAGATGGGTGGAAGAAGAGTCCTTGTCACAATCAAAATGCAAACATCTCTTCTACTAAAGCTAAAAGATGGAGCTGGCACCTTTTTTTGAAGCACTGAGGTCTTGAAGACCATTGGCTAGGAAATACCCTATGCAGACAAATGATGGTATTATAGGGCTCAGCATTGCAAGCTCTGGCACTGAATTTGCTTCAGCGTACAAAGTACTGGTGAAAGTGGTAGAAAACTGGCTCTAGGAGAAGAATGGTCCATGGTTTGATGGGTAGTGCACATGGAGCCATAAGTGAGATCTTTCATATAGGACTGGCCGTCCTTTAAATTTGTGACTCTCAGATGAGTCTTATATCTAATATTCTGTATTCTAAATTAGTTGATACACCAAAATTTGACCTATGCCTACTTCTTGGCTCTTACTGGAATCCTCCTCCTTTCCACATCTTTATCTCTTCATCAATGTCAGGACAGAGGCAAGAAAAGAGACTTCAGGGCTGATGTGGACTTAGTGCTAAGAGGAGTCATGGGTCAGTCATTCTGAGGGACTGACAGGGGGACCTAGCTATATGTTTTCTACTCAGTTATACATACAAATTCTGAAAGGTGGGTCCCCAAATGTATTTCAAGTGCTTTAGCAAAGCAACAACTTTGAGTATGGGACAGAGCACCATTCAAAGGTATTTCCAGCTCCTGAGCAAGAGGAACACTGAGGTCACCTGCTACCATAGCTAAGTCTTCAGTGCGTAGTGGAATGCTATGGAGAGATATCTTACTTAACTGTGAAGAATTTAGTTGAAATACTAGAAAAAACATATTATCAACACTCCTGCAGTAACATAGCCTGGGCAAAGTGACGTGAATTTATCACTACTCAGATTGACTTCAGTGGTGCTGCACAAGCATTACCTTTGCACCAAGTACTCTCAAGAGCGACTGGATACTTCATGAAGAGAAGGATGTGAAGGGTTAAATCTAGCACTGTGATGGTGCCTATCCTGTAACTGAAATTTGAGACCTGTGTGCTACAGGAGTGGATTTGCATGTCATTCAACTATTTGTATTGTGTGGATTTAAATCAGCAGAAGCAGGTTGGGACAGACAAGCTGTCCTAGGTCAATTTACTGTCCCATAAGTGTCAACTAAGCTCTAAATGTTTACATGGGGTCTAGGAGTACTGGATAATTTAGGAGGAGAAAATCACTGAGGGTTACTAAACACACAGAATCTGCATCTGTCTTGGGAAGTTCCCAAGTTGAAAATGCTTGGAGTCTAAGAACATGGTAAAGAATAGTATTGCACATGCATACCTTGTTCTTGATTCTCTAAGACTTCTTAGTGGCCACTGCTAGAATTAGGATATAGATTTGGTTTAATGAACTTCTGGTCTGGTCCAGTGAGGCTGCTTTTGTATTAAACCTTAAACCCTAGTACCTAACAGCAAATCAATCAACACCACCAATAAACATCAGTGCTTTCACAATGTGCAGAAAAAGGGTAAGGACTTGCAGTGTTGTAACAGGCAGTGAGAGAGAACAGGAAGAGAGCTCTCTGTCCTGTGGTTCCCAATGTCTCCAGGTGTCACATGTGCTGAGAATATTCATTCTCGCATAGGGTGCTGGCCAAGACAGCCTGCTCTCACATGCTGGAGACACACTGGCACTAGGAGGGGAAACCACATGAACCAGCTCTGAATCTAACCCCATCTCCTCCCAGTCCTATCCCATATTGTCAGTTTCATCTCCCTTTCAACTTAACTCTGTACCCACCTAAAGTGACCCAAAGACAAATTCTTTTACATTTGGCCTGCTCAGTCTGGAGCTCATCCAAACAGAATGGAAACATTTCCATTTGTTTCATTAAGTTCTGGAACAGACTCTGTAATAGTGCATTCCAAGTTAGCATTCATGGGAAATGCAGTTCAAATGTCTTCTCCCAAAGCTTGCAGTTGTTTGTGGGGTAGGAAAGAGAAAACTAACACACTCAAACTCCTGAACTTAACCTATTGATTAAAGCTATGTGAAAACATTTGTGTTAGGGGCAAAGCTAGCTGAAAAGCCTCAGTAGTTTTGGCAAATCCACCAGTAGAAATATTTGGTAGACATCAGCTCACTGGTTTTGCTATGATAAAGGACATTCTTTCCAAGTGAAAACTGCTTTTCCCTTCATTACTCATTTTGGGACTAATATGAAGCTTGATAAAGTGGCAAAGTTCAATTTCAGCCTGTGCTTGGGCTTGTTTCTTTTTCATATTTCCTTCCAAATTTTCACATTGGATGTCTATTTAATAATATTTGCTTACAGTGACTGAGTACCCTGAATTTCCTGGCAGAGCTGAGAAAACAGTCTCTAGTAGTTGATTTTGTTCCAGTTCCTATTTGTTCTTTATGTAAAATTTCTTCAGACCTATCTGGGCTTTTGGAAGCTCATCCAATTGGTCTCAGCCCATTGATTCAGCCTATCCAGGTCCCTCTGCAGAGCCTTCCTACCCTCAGGCAGATCAACACTCCCTCACAACTTAGTGTCGTCTGCAAACTTCCTGAGGGAGCACTCAATCCCCTCATCCAGATAATTGATAAAGATGTTAGAAAGGTTCAATCTACGATTGCCGTCTCTTGACTCCTAGAAACAACGGAAAACTGACTACAAACCAGGCTGGCACTTCGGCAAGTACTTTGCTGAACATATGTGTAATCTTGCAGAGGTCAGGAAGATACTCATGTGGAAACAATTTGAAGTCTGCTTACCTGTTTGCAAGCTCACTAGGAGTCTAACTGAATGCAAAATAATTTCAGTGAAACCAACTATACTCAGTTGCTATAAGAATGCCCGTAGTAAACATTCTCAGCTCATGCATTTGTGTGGCTTATCACGAATACAAATCTATCAATATTGCAACTAAACCAGGGCTTGGCATAGGTCAGTCAACATTTGCATCTCTCAATATCTTTTAGAAATGAAATTAAAACAAGCAGTGAATTGAACTGTAGCTACTGCAGAATAATGACAAATGACAAGTGCTTAATCCTTGATGAATGAAAGTGACCCAGAATCCCCCAAGGAAGAAAAACTGAGCAGGGTTCTGAAAATTCAAGAAACTATTCCTAAAATTTGGGGTTTGTTCATGCAGCACTAAAACAGTGTTTACGTAGCACTACAATGGGTTTTCAGTAATTAAGAACACAAGTACCTGTAGCCTCCTCATGGCTTCAGAATCATGATCAGCCTTCACTTTGCAAGCCACAAGCAACTGTGCTGTAGAAGCTGCCACTTGTTTGGCAGATGAGATGAGCTTCTCCTCACTAGCGTGGCCTTGTACTGAGGCATTAGCTGCTTCACAGAGATTGCTGGTTGCAGCTGCCACCATTCGGGCCTAGGAGACAGTGAAAAAAAAAGTCACTGTGTATTCTCACAGGATATTATTTCTTCAGAGCAGGTGCAAGTTTTCCTTAAAAGAAGTAGCTACTCACAGCAGAAATAAGTCCCTGAGACCACTGTCCATCATCAGCTGCATTTGCAGGGATTGCTCCAACCTGAAAAGACAGTTCAGAGATGGCTTACAATGAAACAGAAAATACAATTGCTTTGTCTCAGATTTAGACAAACAGTAATCCATGAAAAAAGGAAACACCCGCACCTGTCACTGTACCCAGCACATAGAGGAGCAGAAATCCAACTGAAAGTTAGTTGTCAGAGTAGGTGTGCTTCCAGCACACATCTGCCTGCTCATGTGGTGTCTAACTCACTGCACTGCTTGAATTGCCCCATCCTTGGAACATGTGCAGAAGTCCCACAGTAATGATTGTTGTTGCAGCCAAGACTTTGCCCTTAGCAACAGATGAAGCAAGTTCCTAATCTCCCGGCCTTTAAAATAACTTATTTCTGTCTCCACAACACATTTGGCTTTACATCATTCTTGAATCTATTCTGATTTTGGCACTGTGAAGGTACAAAACAGAAAGCTCTACATGGAAGCCATCTAACTGCCTTCTTGCCTTACAGTGGCATTTGGGGAAAGCAGCCCATTTCACTGAAGTGTTCATGGCATCAGCAGTACTGGCAACAACCAAGGGACAGTTTATTCCCACATCAGATGAAAGTAATTAAACAAAATTCTATAGCTGGTTGCCAGCCTCACACCTCCAGTTGCCTGGGTCTGGGAGTTTTTGGGAGAGAAGCTGAAAGATGTGAAATGTAAACATAGTCCAGAAACTTCTTGTATTTTAAAAGAAATGGAAACAGGGATTCATGCATGATGAGAATCCCAGGGATCAAAATCGAACCCTTACATGTAGCATCACCATAAACAGAAGATGTGTTCTCTCATAGCTATGGTGACTATGAATACACTATGTCCCATAATTCTTTAGGTTACGAGGTTTTCTTGTGTAATCATCCTCAGAAAATGTGTTTTAAGTAGACCACAGATGCAGGGGTCTAGTTGGTAGGGTCTGAATTTTGTGTCTGTGCGCATGTGTGAGTGAATGAATAGAGGAGTGATGTGGAAGAAGACAGATCAGATCCAACTTCCCAGACTTCACCTATACTGCAGAAATTGAAATGGTTGCCTAACACTGAATTAATTCTTTTATAACAATTCCAAAGGGCAAAGTAGTTATTCACTTAAAATTTCTCAACTACAATATTGTACCAGTTTGCCCCATAAGATACTTCCACAGCCTTTACCAAGAAATGTTGGAAATCTATTTGGGAGAGGAACATGCCTGGTTCACACACATCCATGCAGTTGAGTAAGAACTTCCCACTGTCTTCATGCCAAGTAAAAGGTCAGTGAGGAATCTAAGCCAATAATCAGTACTATGTACTGTTCAGTACTGAAGTGATGGATGTGGAACAGATCAAACTTCCTGCTACATCCCAGTCATGCTTTTCTGAGAGGAGTCCATACCACATTCCTCAGAAGGTTTCTTACAAAAGCAAAACATTTTCCCCAGTATCAATAACAAAATCTTCCCACCAGGCAGGTTGGAGCCATTCACTATGGGCAAGAATTTGGTCAGCCATTTTAGAAGCCAACTTCTTGTTCTTCTGGCTGACCTGGAGATACAAGCCACCACAGCAGTCAGAGGATAAACCACAGTGACAATTACCTAAGCACTAGTAATTAGTAAAGAAAGAAGAGAAGGAGAATAGGTTAGGGCTTAGCTATTTCAGAAGTACCTTAATGGCTTTATTTATTTGCGAGAAGTATCATCATGAGAGGATGTGCCATTAATAATTCTGAAGTTTGGTGTTTCATTAAGTTTTGATTTTGGTTTGGATTAATTTCTTCCCTTAAAGACCACAGTATTTACAGATCCTCCAAACAGGCAAGAAACTATCAGTAAAAGCCACTTGCTGCAAAAATTCCTGATCTTTCAGCAAGTTAATATAGAAGAGTGACAGATAAAAGCAAACCAGCTAAATTCAGTAAAGCAGGCTGAACAGATCTGCTAATATGGCATTATATTGGATAGGTGTGCTTCTATTAGAACAGCAAGCTACGGCTTTCCTCAAGCAGATTAAAGCTGTTTGAGCAATTATCCAAACTTGGGTGGAATAGGATGCAAGTGCTGTTAGCCTGAATCTGAAAGACAAACAGAAATGTATCTGTGGGAGCAAAGAAGCTGAAACTACCCGAGGGAGATTAAGAGCTGATATCAGGATAGAAATACATTCTGTATTATTCTGTATAACTTTACAGTGATGGTGGTGAGGAAAGTAAAGCAAGCTGTATGTCATAATGAAACTAACTCCCCTGAAGAGGAGACTGAGGGGTGCCCTCATTCATGGTTATCAATTTGTAAAGGGCCAGTGTCAGGAGGAAGGAGCCAGGCTCTGCTCTGTGATGTCCAATGACAGGAAAAGGGGCAATGGGAGCAAGCTGGAGCACAGGAGGTTCAACCTGAACATGAGGAAAAACTTTTTCACTGTGAGGGTGCCAGAGCATGGCCCAGGCTGCCCAGAGAGGTTGTGGAGTCTCCTTCTCTGCAGACATTCAAAACCCGCCTGGCCGTGTTCCTGTGTGACCTGGTCTGGGCGATCCTGCTCTGGCAGGGGTTGGACTGGATGAGCTTTTCAGGTCCCTTCCAGCTCCTAACAGTCTGTGTGATTCTGTGATCAAGTAAGAACGAGTCTTGTCACATAAAAGCAGACTGCACAACAATCTAAGTGAACCAGGTAACTCAAATTTCTCGTTTTTTCAGACTGTCTTCACAGCCAGATTTCAAAGGGTATTAATAATGTCTTGTTTTATACAGTACTGGTAAGTTCCATAGCTACAGCTTATGGTGGGTCTTTTCAAGCAGTTACATCACTATTGTTCTGAAACAAGTGCTCAGTGCTCTGCTGGAACTAAAAGCACAAAGCTCCCCAGCAATTCCAGCTGAAGTAAACAGCATAACACTTTTGTGACAGGATTCATGTCACTGTCTGCTCAAAATAAAGAATTTTTTGAAATTTGAAACTATAACTATGTAACAACAATGATCTTATAACAAATTGTTCTCAGAGGCAACATATTTGTTTGATGTTCAGATTTTAAGTTTCAAAGTATATTAACTAGGGAAAAAAAAAGCAAAATGGTGAGGGATATGAAATTAATTACAAAGACCTCAATCCTGACCAGAACAAAAGGGTAACACATGTCATAAGCACCCTTTCCATTGGTCCCAACAATAATTACAAGCATGTCCTCTTACATGTACTGAATTTGCATGCAGGCCTGTGTCTCCATTGAATCAGACAACAAAACATTGAGGGCACAATTAGCGAAGCCCTTTGCTATTCTGGTCCAGAGTGGTATTGTACACTGTGATACTTGTTTTTGAATCCCCAAGCTGCCTTGTGGGACTATACATTACTAGCTTGAATCACAGATCTTTGCAAAATGGAAAAAAAACCCAACACAAACACAAAAACTCCCCACAGCTGAAACATCTGAAGAGCCAAACACTTGATTACACTTCTGAGGTTTAAACAAACATAATTGTGGGGGTTTTTTTTAAACAGAATCAGGCCTGGGACATGTATTGTGATGAGCAATGAATAGTTTTACATTTTCATTAGTATTCCCAAGCTCCTTTCCTACTGTTTTAAACTGTTTTAACAGAGAACATTTAGAGACAAGATTCAATTTTGATGCTTTTCCCCCCTCCTGTTGCCAGTTGTTCTGTTTACCCACCTTTCCCTGTGCCACCAGTTCTCTCTGGGCTGCTGAAGCTGACTTCACAAGGGCACTGGTAGCAGCTGCAATGGATTTAGCTGCTTCCAGGATCTGTTCTTCAAAATCCAGAGTCTCATCTGCTTGCTATAACCAAGAAAGAACAATGTCACACATTTTTCACCTGAAAGCAGCTGTATTTTCAAGACTAAGGACACAGACAAAGTGAGACAAGAAGGCTTTGGAACACATCAGTAAATTCAATAATACCTACAACATCATTTTCCGCAAAGGAGTTTCATGTGGACTAAAGCTGGGAGTCAACATAAGTGAGTTTAAATAGAAAGTTGCCCTTCTGGCTGCTCACATGTGAAATTGAGTATCACACAAGATACTTAAAGAACTGCCTTAAACTTTCTAATATATTAACTCCACTAGGGCTACTCAAAACTACACTCAGAAAAGCGCAGGTCTGAAAAGCAATTCTTGTTTTTCCATATCAAGATTATCTTTGTAGTGCTATAATACTGGCTTCCAGGATCGCTAAACCAGGTAGACCATTTCCTAAATACTTAAAGACTTAAAGCATTAAAAAAGAACAGTGATAAATGCACATTGTCTCATTCACCTATACTAAGAAATGTAACGCAGATACCAAGCAAGTGCACGGAATTAATGAGCTGTCATTTCACAGAGAGCAGCATTGTGAAGCAGTCCAGTTTAGTCTTCTTGGAGAGAAGAAGTTCCAAAGGTCTGTGTGGAACACTCCAGTCATCCATACATGTCTTTCAACAAGCATGTGCAAATGGAGACATCAGCTGTTCCTAATGAGGTTTCTTGTCTTAAAATGTGAATCTATTGGTCCATAAAACAACAGCTTCCTTGTCTTGCTAATAATTTAGACCAATACTGAAAACATTAATCCCTTTAAGCACACTTACTAGCTTCTGAACAGTTAACAAAATAGACAGAGATAAGTGGCTATTGTTATTTTAACCATAACCAGGCCTGGGCCATATATTCTGTTTGGTTTCTTTAATACAAAATAAACAAACAGAAGATACTTTGTGATCAATTCACAAGCCTACCAGAATCCGATGCAGTATGACCAGTAGGGCTAGTGGATACAATACCATAACACACCACCTTGTGAGAGATGAGGCTTTTGAAATACAAGTTTCTTCCAACTTATGCAACTACAGCATTCTTGCGTTAAATAACTAACTTTGGGAACATCAGCAAAGAGCAGTTTGAGTTAGAAAACTGGGCACTTAATTTGCAAGTCTAAGCACATCCATCTAAATTTAAGTCAGGTTTAGTTCTCATGTTATTGCAATCTGATGAAATAGTAGTCAATTATAAGTAATTACAGATCATTACAAAATGGCACATCAAGCACTGCTCAGTCCTACAGCACTTCACGTAACTGCCACATAGCTAAAACAAAGTCCAGGAGATGAAACTATAGCATCTGTAGACACCAGAAAAACAGGATTATTTGAAAAGAAAAACTGATGTGTAGATGAAGTTGTTTGGCACTTTAAAGTTTTTCTTATCCTTTAGGAAAAGCCACATAATTCAAGGAAAAGTGTTTGTCTTGCCTTGCTATTTGGCTCATCCCATCAACTGAAGCATAAGAAATTAATTTTTTAAAGTGAACAAATCACGTTCCAGCTGAATTTTTGGAAATGCTTGCAATGTAACATCACAACCATTATTGTATATAAATGGTTATTACATTAGACCTGAATATATGCAACAGGCCTGAAGTTTTATTTATAAAACTCTTACTTCAATCATGACATCACAAAAACCTGAGTGACTAAATGAAATTCGGTGTAGTCGTGATCAGATTTCTTTTCATTATTAAAATTGATGCATTGTTGACTCTGATTTCAGTTGACTAAAGGCTTAAATGGAAATATCAGCAAAAGTACCACTGGATGGTAGTCAATTTAACAGACTGTTACTGCACTTCTACTTCTGTCCAAGTCTCCCATTATGGAGAATTTTTAAATTTTCATTTGCAACATAGCAAACTATATATATAGTGATGTGATACACGGCAGAAAATTTCACCTTGCAGGATTTAAGTTACTTGAGAGGGCTACTTGGGTTTCTTTAGCAAACCAGATCTATGAGACAAGTGATTAGCTTCTCCCTCAAGTAGCCTCCATGAAGATCAGTACCACCTTCTCCACAAACTTAAACTAATAAGCTGTGTTCTTTATATGTCAGCATTATCAGGAATTCAAACTTAAGCAAGTGAGAATTTCAATATCTGCTTATTTATTATAAAGGAGGTGTCATTCTTTCATAAAGTTTAATTAAACGCCCATGGCCATACTCTGATCTATTAGGCAGCCATTTATGTGCCCAGATGGTATCTGATTTGTGAAAAACCAGCCACAAAAAAGAGGCTGAAGAAAAGTGGTTGTCTGAACTCAGTTCAGCGTAGTGAGTGGACTAAATATTGCACAGAAGTGGTAAGCAAAGATGACTACTATCAAAGAGAATGCAGAGAAAACAAATCTTGCATTAGTGAGAATGCTATTGTACAATGGCTGGATTAACTTCTACTGTGAGGCAGTAGGTAAAGCTTAGCAGGAACACAGATAGCTAAACCTTAGTTATTTCATCAGATAACAGATCCCCCC